TCAGAATATGGAATTTGATGAAATACCCTACCTTAATGTGGTTATTATCTTTGGTTCTTGAAGGGCTGCTTGTAATTTTCTGGTGCTCTTGGGATTAACCAACAAGGGGAAACATGATGAATACAAGAAAAGAATGAAAGAAGAAAGAAATGAGCTTTTGCTAAACTCTCATTCTTCCAAGTGCAAACTCAAACTCAATCTCAATCTCAATCTCAGACTCCAATTCCAAATTTTTACTTTTAACTCATGCATATGCAAAGTCAAATTCATTTTTTTTTTCATAATTAATTATAACAAACCTCATCGATTCAATCTTGGATTCAAAAGACACTTGAAGATTATCATAACAGCATAAATGAGTGACCAAAAGAAACAGTTCAGAAATACAGTGTAGGGTAAGGTAAGGTCGAGAAAGTACCTGTGGGGAAAAGTGGAGTACTTAGTCATTGGAACCTTCACGATGTTCCTCCTGGCATTGGAGGCGGACTTCTGAACGACGGCGACAAATTCCTTGGCCTTGCTAACTCCGACGCCGACTTGGGCCTTCTTGTCGCCGACAACGACGACAGCTCTGAAGGACAACTGCTTCCCTCCCTTAACAACCTTTGTCACCCTCCTCACCTAGACCACCCTCTCTTCGAACCCATCGCGGACCTTCTCCTTCTTTGTGCCAGACCCGAACCCCGTGTCCTGCTTCACCAGGGCGTTCGTTTCGAAGACGTCATTCCCGAGCACGAAAACGCCGTTGAAGGCGGGGCCATAGAGCTCCACGTAGGCTGCGGCGATCTCGTCCTCCATCTCGAGGGGGCCATCGTCGAAGGAGGGAGGGGCGACAAATCCCTTTGGAGGCTCTGGGAGGTTGACATTGTCGAAGAACGAGGTGTTAATGTCATCGGAGGGTTTGCATTTGGCGTAGAGGAAGGAAGGGTGGTGTTGGGGTTTGGCGAAGAGGAGGAAGACGGTGTGCAACAGTGAAGGGAGGAGAGAGAAGCGAGAAGAAGCGGGAAGTGCGAAAAAATGGCCACCATTAAACGAGTGAGATTAGGGTCGAGAGGTTTTTTGGGGGACAAGGGGGGAAAGAAGCTTTCACAGTACTGAATTTAGGAGTTTAGGATAGTGAAATCCCAAGTTCTAATTTCACTAAATTGAACCTTACCGAAGGGCGCATTCCTTCGGTACTGTCACTGCCCAATTACTGAAGAGCAAAAGCCTTCGATAATCAATCACTCAAATGATCATCGATAAATCCTTCGGTAAAAGAACTTTACCGAAAGACAAAAGGCCGTCGGTATTAATCCTTCGGTAATAAACATATTTTTTTGTAGTTTTATCACCGTTGGGAGAAATTCTTCAATGAATTTCCATTTTTTTTTTCTAATTTTTGCATGTATAATCTTAGTTAGTTTGAGGACATAAACCCACAAGGTGCTGAAAAATCAAATTAAATTAGACGATCATAAAATAAATGTAGAACAACAACCGAAACTTACCTCACAGTCTTATGCTAGAGATGTTGTAATTTTTTTTTTGGATAACTTGGAAAGATTTATCATTTTTTTAAGTATAAATTATTTATATAAGAGACCGATTTTTCTTGGATTTCTGACAATTTTTTCCAAAACTAAGTTGAATTATATCATATATTTCTATTACAATAGAACATATATGTCTCACTTATTTAATTCAACATAAAATATTAACTGTGAATTCCTAACAATTTAATTCATGTAAGAGTGTGATTTCTTTTTAGATTCCTAACAGGTTTTCTAAAACTGAGTTGAAATTTACCATATATTTCTACCACAATAGACTTATTTAATTCAATATTACAAGACATTAATCTTAAGTTTGACAGGGATTTTAACAATTTTAACAAATTAAAATACATTATATTTGGATTACATATTAATAAATTTCTTTTATTTGTTAAATAGTTTATTTGGATGAAATAATTAAAATATTTTATATTTTAATTTTTTTATTTGGATAAAATAATTTAATTTCTCTTTTGTGAAAGCTCTATTTTAAAAATATTTGGATAACTCGCCTCTATCCTTAATCTAAGTTTACTTAACATGACTTTCGAACCAAGACGACTTATCCTAGTCTTTAGTTATTGTGAACTCATCTCAACCTTCGGTTAAGCCAACTCACCTTAACTTTCGGTCTAGGCAAACTCCTCTGACCTTTAGTCAAGACCAAATCGTCTCAACCTTAGGTATGGGTTAACTCATTTTAACCTTCATTTCATCCAATTCGAACTTCGCCCTACGATGAATTTACTTAACCTTCAACCTACGTCAATTCCTCATAACCTTCATTCTGACTAACTCACTTCCACTATGGTCCAGGCGACTCTTCTCAACCTTTAACTTAGACAGAGTCATCTCGACCTTTGGTCCGGACTAACTTCTCTCAACCTATGACACAAGTTGACTCGTCATGACCTTTGCCTAGTCTGAATTAGGTCAACCTCTGTATGAGCCACATTAACTCAACTTTCAGTTCAGCTCGACTTAACTCAACCTTCAGCCTGGATCGGCTCAGATCAACCTTTGGTTTAGGTTAACTCAACTCGACTTGACATTTTACCCAGACTAACTTAGCTCAAACTTTATAATGGGAAGACTTAACTCAGTCTACTGCTCGAGTCAATTCAGTTCGATCTACAATCCCAATCGACTCGACTCGGCTCAACCTTCAACATGAACAAATTTGTCTCGTCTTTCGACCTTGCTGACTCAACTCGACTAAATGCTTCAACCAATTCAGCTCAACCTTTAACTTAACTCACGTATCTCAATGTTCAATTCAACTAACTAGTCTCACCTTTAATCAAATTAACTCAACTTGACCTTCAATTTGATCAATACATCTTGACCTTCAGATGGATCGACCTAGGTCTTCGAGTTCAAATCTAATTATTTAAATTTAGATTGGATTTTAGATTATAATTTTAAATTCTGATATTCACTCTACAACTAAAAAAATCATAAGCAATAAATCAAGATCCCTAAATCAAGATCCCATAATCAAGATCCCATCTTTGATGATATTCACCAAGAAAAAGAATAAGACAAAAAAGTACCTTGGGAGTCGACGAGGAAGTACAGCTACCCAGCCATCTTCACCACAAAATTCACATTCAACCAAATTCAACAAACTCTTACCTAATTAATTTAGCCTCAATAATGGCTCTCACACACAACCAAGAAATAGAATATGGTTTTGACATATCACCTAAGTTAGAGTTATCACACGGAATATTTGTATTTAGTATTGCCAATGATATTTGATTTTTATCAAGAATTAAATATTGTCTTTCATTGGCCAATCTTCTTTTTATTCTCCTTTTCTTACACATAAATATAAGAGAGATCACATTATGTATACTTTTATTATTGCATAATTAATGAAATTATAAAAAAAAGTCCCAATATGATTTTATTTATAATTTGTGAACCTAAACTTTAAATTCTTAATTTTATATCGGTTATTATATCTTCACACTCAATTTTTTTACGGTCTTTATTATTAATTTCTTCTTACAAATACAAGTATAATTTTGTAATGATCGTATTACACTTAAAAATAAGTTGTCAATGTCAAAATACCAAAACATCATTTCTCTTATGGTAAATTTTATTTAAATTGATCAACAATAATAAATTTATCAAATCATTTAAATTTAATATATTTTTAGAAAAATATACTGCACCAATTTTGAATCGTAAACGAAATTTTAAACAATTTTATATTAGTAAAAGAAATTGTAAAGATGACTTGAATTAAATGAATTTTAAGTTTTGAAAAAAGAAAGATTCCAATTAAAAACATTAAAATTTAACAAAAATTATATCGATATATATAAGTTGATCAATTTTCCCTTACACACGTACACTTGGAATAAATTTAAAATTTTCTGAAGTTTAGAAATACTTTATGATAATAAATTTGAGACATATAATTCTATTTTTTTTTACGTAGTTTCATACACTAACATTCTTAGCATTTAAAATCTAGTGTGGGATACAATATAATATGCCTTAGTAGCACAAAATTTTACATCAGTTTATTAACCATTGATGTATAAGCTAGCTTAACTGGCATTTCTGTATCAATGTCAGAGAAATTATATATTGAAGTCACATATCTTAAATTACTATTTATGTTAAGAATTTAAATATCACTTAAAAAATTTACATAATAAGAAAGTTGAAAGTAATATAAGATAAAAAAAACGTAAATTATGAGTGTTAAAACATTTTGTTAGGATTATGTGAAATGTGTTGAGAAAAAATAGTGGAAGAAATATATCTGATATGATAGATACTTGAGTGGTTGTGGTATTAATGATTGTAGTTGGTAAAAGAGCATAGGCTTTGATAGATTAGATTGAAGACACACAACTTTATTTAAGGCCACTTATTAAAGAACAGAGCAAAAATTGAAGCAACAGTTTATTACATGCATAGACTGAGAAAGCACGGAGAAGTCCACCTCCATTTTCTGATGGTACACAAGGAAACTATCATGGCACTTTTATTTAAAGGCTTCTGCAAACAATTCACTAAATTAGGATACACACTTCTAATCCCAGTAGTCGTTGTCAGGGAGGACCCAGTTCGAAAGATTATTATATGGTCTTCCATCATCAAAAAATGGATCGTACGGTGAATCTTCGTCAAACTCATTTTTCATCGATTTCCAATACAGACTAGGCTTCCAATCTGCCTCTTTCAGAACCTTCAATACCTCTTTGAACACAACCTTGTTTCCCACAGGTGACAGATGAATTCCATCGCTGAAAACCAAAACAATTCTTCTTCATCATCATCATCATCATCATCAACACCACAAAATCCATTTTTTCAATGAGACTATACTTACATAAAACAGGCCTCTTGCCATTTTTCCACTTTCTGAAGAGCAGTCCATAGATCAACGGCCTTGATATTCATATCCTGACACAGTTCCAAACATGCCTCTGAATACACTCGACAAGTTTCGTTCGTCCTCGATGGTTTCCCATTGCTGTTTCACTCCAACAATTAGTCCAATTCTAACTACCACCATTGCAACTTATAATCATAAAGTAAAATTTGAATCACCTTCTTGCGAATTGTATGTTAAGCGCTACATCGTCGATGGGAGGAGCACTCAGTACAATAATGCGAGTAGTGTCTGAGAGGCTCTGCAATCGTTCATAAATAATGGGTCAAGCTTTTGCAGGGACACGAGAATAACAAGAAAAGGGTAGAAATAAAAAACCTGGAGATGGTTAATGATCTTTTTCATATTCTCGATATATTCTTCGAGAGGCACAGAAGTACCGAATCCTGTTGGGTCAGGAAACGAAGAATCATTGCCTCCAAAGTAGACGATGACCAATGAAGGTTGTACACGGGCATCCTGAATTCAACGAGTTCACACAGTCTTAGCAAGGATCAGAGTAATCAATACCAAAGCAATTTTCTAAGTACAGTGAACAAAAGGGAGATTCTGTATTGAACAGAAGCACTACAAAGATGAATACCTTGGGAAAAACTTTGTCCAGAACCTGCAGAGCACGCCTTGTATTCCAACCAGCGTATCCTCGGTTGATTATATCAGCCTGTGTCAAAAGGGGTTGTTAAAACGGGGAAGGTTACGTAAAAGTGATTTTCATTACATAAGAAAAGGTGACATAACCATACAAGTAAGAAACTTTCTGAGAAGGTTTGAACTGAACTCAAAATCCTTTCACCAACATGCATCAGATACTCTTGCATATGTTGTTTTGAGAAGAAGAAGAAGAAGAAGAAGAAGAAGAAGAAAACTTACCTTGCGAGCGTACAAGTGAGCAAGAGTAGCAGCCCAACCTTCACCGAAGAAACCAAATTGAACAATGGAAGAACCGAAGAGAACAAACTGAGGCCTCGAGGTTCCTGACATTATTCGAATTCCTCTCTGTTTGTTTCTCTGTTTTTTTCCTTGAACGCTGAATATACACTGAGATACGTTGGACTAGAATATATGTATTGACTTCATCACCTACCTACTACCTACCTCCCGATCCTCCAGTCTTTTTTATTTAATCTTTTCCCCTTTTTTTAGGAGAAAATTCAGCTCAATTATTGGTTCCTTCACTGTCTCCACTTATTATTTTAATCTCAATTAATTTCTATACTATGTCTACGCAAGTTTTTATTTATCAAAACAGTTAATCATATATCATGTGGTAAAATTTTACCCAATAATTTTTCACAAATTGAAGTATACAAATTCAATTTGAAATGTTTATTGTCTATTTCTTATCTGTCTTTGTCTTATTCTGTCCACGCTGGTACCAAAATATCACATCAAAAATTGAAAAAAAAAATGCATAAACAACGACTATTACTTCTTCATCAAAGGCCCTTTTTAGTTGTTCTTTGTGTAGCCTTAAAGTGAAATAGTTATGTAAAGAGACCTTTTGTGTGCATGTGGAGAGGGGTTTCCGTAAGAGACAAAAAACCATTGACAAGGTAACTTAACTTGTTCAAGGTAACTAAGATTCAGGTTCTTTTTTTATGGCCATGAATTGGATTTGGTTCGGACGTGCTTTTCAATTATTGAAACAAGAGACTTGCTTTTTAGTAGATTCAATATTACATGCCATACAACGGAATGCATTATTATAAACTCACACATCTTTTCAACGTAATTCACAATCTCTGTATCACAATATAATTTTGTCTCTTTATTTTATTCGATTCATTCACACTCTAAAATAGAAATCTTTAGTCTTTTATTTTATAAAACTATGCGCTTTTAATATTTTGATTGTGTACACATTTTATCTATTGTATTAAAAACTAGATTATAAATTTGACGTCTTTTTTGTTTTTTTATGTCACTGTTTTATTCATTATTTAATGCAGTATAATTTTTCAAAGCAATGTTTTAAAAATGTGACGTCTTTTCAGCCCATACACGTTTTTTACGAGGGTAGCAGGTACCTAACCTTCATACAATAATAGTAGTACCCATGTTAGGTTTGATAATAACTACTAGTATATTCTCGACCCATTTACAACTATTTGATAACTACTCATATTATATACATATAAATATATTGTTTTACTCAAATATTTATATTTATATAAACAAAGCTATATAATTGTATATTTAGCAAGAATTATCGAACTAACATCTTTTTTTAAATCATTCTTATACCTAATCCGATTCAATCTAAAAATTAGATCCAATCTCACTAACCCTGTTTAGTTTAAGAGAATCTTTTACTAGTTAGGGTTTAAGAAATTAAAATTTCCGAATAATACCTTGCAAGGTTTAATCCATTTTAGTAATGCATTTTTATAAATATTATTTAATAAATAATATTTTGTATAATATACTATTATATTTAAGATTATATGGCTTTTTTGGACTCAATTCTTTTTTTTTTTCTTGAAAAATGTTTTAGTAGGTTAAGAGATGAGAATTTTAAATTATGCATCTTTTGTCTTGAAATATTTAGATGATGTATACTTTATGGATGTAGAGAAACAAGCCCTTATATGGAATGTTAATATTCTGATATGAATTCTCAGTAAAATTAAAATTAATTACTACTTGTTCACTTTAGACTTGTTGAGTATTCGTTAAGTAACAAGTTTTAATGAGTTGTAGGTGATAATTGGGTGGAATAGGTAGGCATTTAATAATTTCAAGATTAAAGTAAAAATTCATTTATCTTCAAAATAAAAGTTTCTCCTAATCTTCATCTTTGTATTTAATAGATTTAATTTTTTTTCTTGTTTCTTTCACATCTAACTCATACCTATACTCTATTAATTATTTTATTTTTTAAAATATTAATTAAATATGTTATTTACAAATAATAATCGAAAAACCTCATACTATTAAATATATAAAAATTGTATATTTTATTTTTTTAGTATGTAATATCAAGATAACATTATAATTATAAAAATAGCAAATAAGAATATCAGATAAAAATTGAATAAAAATTAAATAATTATAAAAAAATTAAGCAAATAAAATATGTCTTATAGATAAATTATGAAACTAAGTATTAAAAAAAAGTTAATATAAGTATTGATTACATAATAAATTAAATATGTTTTATTAATTTAAAACATATAGTGACAAATAGTAAGATGAATTTGGTAATAAAAACATAATATGTCTCAATTTTCATACTTAATTTAAAAAAATCAAATATTATTTACACTCATATCTATACTTAGTTAATATACAGATTTTTTATTAAAATTAAAATGCATTGAACAATATTTATGAAAATGGGTTCATTTATCATTTTTATCCAAAAGAATATATATATATATATATATATATATATATATATATATTTATTTTTATATGTTAATAGATGTAATAGGAATAACTTTTTTTTTCCTACAAAGGATAATGTTATAACCTTAAATCCTACGTGGTTAAAGTGAATAACAGACTCTTTTAACTTACCCAAAAAAGGTTAAATATATTTAAAGGGCTTAAAATAGAATTTCTCACAATAAAAAGCACAACAACATTTTAATGACTAAATATAGTATTTATAGAAATAAATATAAGAGTAGAATATTCTAGAGTTATCAATACGTGTCATATAAAAAATGATAAAATGTAAATAACATTTATAAAGATGAAAAGTTGTTCTTTCTTCCCCTCTTTAAATTATACTCGAAATATACCATTTAAAATAGGCAAACAAGTGGGCCTCCTGCAATATGGAAATTTGCAGTTCAAGAAATGTTAGACTTATTGCGAGTAGTTGCGGCAGCAAAAACCCATGTTAACAGATCTGATTTCATTTCATCCTTTTACACTATATAATCTATTTTATATACTTCATCGACCAAATCAAGTCACATGAGCCACACATGCTTCCATCATATCATCTAATAAAAAATTTCATTTTTATTCAACTCCAAATCTCTACAATTCCCACCATTCAACCATGTGGATATTAAAATATTAATACATTTAGATTAAATATATCTTTTAATGTTAAATTTTATATCAAATTAATTTTTTTTTGTCAAATTTTAATGTTGTTGAATTTTAAAAATAAATAAATATAAATCTTTTAATTAATTAAATTAAATTTTTATATGTCAAAGTCAAATAACGTTTGAATTAATATAAGTTGTATAGACCGTTTCATATGTTTTAATTAATGTCAGTTTGGAAAATCATTTAATATATATAAAAAACTTATATAATATATGTAAAAAGTTTGTGTTCATTAAATTAAAATAATTATATTTATTTATTTCTAATTTTAAAAATTAAAATTTAAGAAAATTTAAAAAATAAGTAAATTTTAATTTTACGTCAAATTTAAAAATTAAATATATTAACATTTAAAAAATCCTTCAAGATTTTTACTTAATTTCAAATAATAAAAAAGATGCCCAATCCCAATGCAAACTCTTATTTAACACTTGATTGTACGATAAAAGTTTAATTTTACCTCGTTTATTTAAATTAAAGACCGACAAGATGATTGTTACTATCATATGTGTACATGATGTTTGCCAATCTTTTGTATGTTATATTTTCCCATTCTAATTTTGTGGGTAGTCAAATATATGATATATAATTTTATAAAATAGTTGATAAGACCATGTGAATGGTAACGTTTATCACGGAAGATTATTATTTGGGATTGTAACTTTATCAATGGCCATATATAAAAACCGTAGCGTTTATCATCCAACATTTTGTAATAATAAGCAGCAACGTTAAAACCAAATGAATCTTAGAAAAAGATTTCATTAATCATCAACAAAATCTAGCTAGTCAAACGAGGTGTGTGTGTGAGTTGTCAAATAAGGTGCCTGAGTTGGCAAACAAGTTCCATGAGTTGTAATAAATTTGATAACATGTGTTCTTTTCTTTAAATAAATACAATTCTCAAGAAAATAGATTTGACCTTAGCGTCATCAACATCGTCGTAACAAATTCGTTGTATTCTGCACTTTCTTTTTTATGGGTTTACATTGTTATTCAATGCTTTATTTTATACAACCATATTTAAAAAAATTTATTTGTAAAATTATATTGTAGTGAACTTTATTTGTTATTTTATGTATTAGTAGTTTATTGTGATCAGTATTTTAAATTTAAATTATACTAAAAGTATATTTTTTTTTTTAATGTAAATGAAGTGAGAAATAATAGCCTGACAAATTGATTTAATGCCTGTGTGACCTGTCTTCAACCAATAGTCTGAGAAATTGATGAGATGGGGTATCACGTGGACAACAGAAGCAGCTAGTACGATAGAGGACTTGACATTTGATGTGGAATTACATAATAGATAGATTTAAAAAAAAAATTATTTTGTCCTATATATTTATTGTTTTTATTCGTTTTGATTTTTTTTTTTAGTTAAATATTTTTTATTTTAAATCGATTTAATTTAGTTATTTTTTTGTTAGATTTTTATAAATGTTGTTAATTTAAATAATTTTTAATTATCTTTCATCTTTTAAAAGTTTTTTTTAACATAGATATATGTTAATATCATGTTTAATTCGATGTCATTTTAAAGAATAATAATGTTAGACCTTCAAAGATCAAGTATTAAATACGATAAAGTGTTTTAAATAATTATATTTTATTATTTTATTTTAAAAATATCAATAGGAGTTTCTAAGAAATTTTATTTCTTTAAAACGTAATTTTTTAAAACTTTTATCTTTTTTCTAAAAATTTCAATTTCTCACTCATTTATCGAAAGATCAAATATCGTCTGAGGGTTCCTTGAGGCGAAATTTTCATTTCTAGTGATAACATCTGTGTTATTTCTTCTATATATACACTGCTCCTTTCGCTTGTATAAGTGCTTTTTCTCCTCAGATCAATACAAAACTATTATTCCTTTTGCCTTTCTCTTACTTACTGAGTGGTAACTCTATGATGGTATCAGAGCCTGGTTCCGCTGCAACAGTATGGTTGTTTCTTGGCTTCTGCATTCGGTCTCT